TTACTGCAGCTAATGCCCTATAGGTGGAGTTCGAAGTAAAAACTCTTGGAAAAATAAAAGTATTAGATCGTCATTATGTTCCCCACCCCAGTTCCAAACTGTCCCTCACATTCCCTAGAGAACAACAAAGGCAGTCTCCAGGCAGTTTAGAGGGATTTTTAAAGCACCTCAACTACTTGTCAAGATTTATGGGGATAGGAGTGTGGCTCAGTAGTAAATTGCTTACTTTATTTGTACAAGGTCCTGGGTTAAATCCCCAGCACCACAAAAATAAATAAATAAATTTAGAATAAGTTTTAAAATAATGGGCTCAATCACAATGCCCTTACTAAGCAAGCATAAGTATTTGTTGAATTAAATGATACTGACAATTACAGACATTCGGAGAGTCATTTCAACTTATGAACAAAATTTTTAATCACTTTCTCATTTGCTATTAGAAAAATCGGGGCCAGTGGTGACACTGCCCATGAGCAATTCACAAGTTAAAAACAAACTCCTAAGGAACTCTTCAGCATCTCAACTTTAAAAAGGAGTTTAAAATTTAAAGAGGTAATGAGATAACAGCTCAGCTCCAAATATATTCTGACCTTGAATGATTCCTGGATCCTGTATATCTCTCAACTTATTTACCCTTCGAATGGGAATAGAAGAAGCAGTTCTAAGTAATTGCTAATAAAAGCGTATTTGCTTCTGGTAGAAATACAAATTCAAATTGATAATGATCATTTTCCCAGACCCCGATTTACATTCACATCCCAGTGCCAAACTCTCAGGTTCCCAAGATCCTGTGGGTTTCGGTTCCTGACTGAAAGACCAAAGCCACAGCCAAAACTTGGGGGAGTCACTTCATGAAGCAGTAGCCCTAGCCAGCTCCCTAACTCCCAAAAAAGTCATTACACATGTCGGCACCTCATTTAATTTTTCACTAGGGTGACACAGTCTTTGTGATACAAATGCACCCAAGGACAACACCCCAAAGAACTTGTTTCTCTTGGACCCACCAAAGGATAAAATGTTCTCAATGATAATCACCCTTCTCCAAATGTCCCTTTTAATTGGCTGATTGACTGTCTCCTGGGCGTGACTGTACACATTTATCTCGGTGAGTAACCAAAATGGAAAAGTCTCCCTGATTTCTGAGAAGCCTGACAAGGACAGCAGTGTAAAAAGAGCACCTACACTAGGGTGATGTAAGGATGTGAACCTGGGCCTCTGCAAAAAGCAATCTTTCACTTCGGGAGATTGACCTCCGTGACCTCTTCCAGCTCAAAAGCCCATTGCCAGCTCCACAGGCGTGACAGCTGGGGACATGGAGAGATTCAACAGAATTGTTCTGCCAGAGAAGGAGAAAAGAGACTACAGGTTTAGTGCTGGAAAAATATCCCAGGTTGCAAAATGATGAAAAATCTACACTCATGTGCATGTGTAAATGTAGTGTAATTCTGGGTTCTACACATAAATAACTACAATCAGTTATAAGTAACTAGTATCCTAGGCCTGCTTGTCAGTGTCTTCACCTGAAAACTGTTAGAGGAAATTATTATTACATCCTTGTTTCTGTGAAGCAAGTTACCCATTTTTTTCCAAATTTAGAAAATCTGTTTCTAAAGATTAAACTTAAAGCCAGAGCCTTCAAAAATGACTGTGCGGCTACCTCTGCAATCTGTTCCATCCTGAAAAGCCAGCTTCATTCAAGTAATTTTCCCACCATGAAACATTAATCATAACCAGAAAAAGTCAAAAATAAACCCTAAAATCAAATAGTATTTATGATATCATATAAAGGTACCTCAATTTTGGCCCTTTGAATCATGTCACCATTATGTTTATGAGAGACAATTACTGATTTCTAAATGGCAATATATTTCCATTCTGAATGGGGATTACTGTAACGAAATTTTAAAATAAGATCAACATGTCATATACTAAATTAATTCTAAATATTTCCAATATTTGTAGTGGGTTAAATAAGAAACTTTCTTAAAGGCTGAAGAAAGGAGGCTTTCTTCAGGCTCTTTTACATTTTTTTTTAAATTTAATGATAAACTTTCCTTTAGTTTGACTTAGAAGGACAGGATTCCCTTTCTAAATGCCTACTAAGGTGATTTAAGAGATCTATTGAGAAACTTAGAGACAGTTTTCTAGGACCAAAATTACTGTGTTTATACTAAGGGTCTGTTAAACAATAATTTTTGAAAGGTAAGTATTCCATCAAGGCTAAAGTGTTTAATAATAAATTACTATCGGGTAATTATCTGCCTAACCAAAAATACTTCCATTTCTCTGTTTACTTGAATACAATAAAGACTCTTCTGCCTGAGGAAATTTAGTAACACAAATTGACATTTGGATTACTAAATCTAAACAGAAACTGCTTAATTATGTAGAGGTTTTCTAAATGCAGTAATTTCCCTTCCATCTCAAATGTATTCACTGTTGTACACACTGGTAAATCTTTTAATTGAGGAATTTTTTTATCTTTTAAAAATTCTTTACTTCCCTTTACCTAACAAAGATGACTTCTTTTGCAGTTATTTAAACCTTAAGCCAGCAAACAAAAGAGTAAGAAAGTTCAGTAACTTTAGTTCTAATTTATGCATTTCACTTGATTTGAACTTTTTAAGCTCTGGTTGTACCAAAAGTGCTATACATTTATCTCTATTCAGAAAAGAAAATTTAGTTTTGTTATGGATGTCAGCAAATTATTGTCATTAGTTTTATAACTTTTTAAAAGATTACATTCATCTAACCTAAGATTTTTGATCCCGAATTTAACTGTTAAAAGTAACAAAAGTACTTTTAAAGTCTGGAATTTGCAAAACCCCTGAGAAGTCACTAATAGGATTCCCATGATCTAATACATGTAAGGCTTTAACTGTAATCGTAAACCCATTGAAGGCTTATGATCTGAAAGTATGAACTATTGTAGCCAGTTTTTATGAGTTTAATTCCACTAGCAAATCCCAGTTTCTATATTTTAAGTCTCAACTAGAGTAAAATCACCATACATTTTGAAAGGAACCATCTAAAAGGAGAAAGCACTGGGAAAACAGGGCAAGAAAACCATTGCCAAAAACAACCTTCTGACACAAGCCATCAATGAACTTCTAGAAGCACAAGACTTCACAAAACTTTAATCTATGACATATGTTAATTTGCTTTAGTAAGCACCATGCTACCTGTGAATCTCTGTATTTTCCACTGATTGCCCACACAAAATTGAATACACCAGAACTTAGCCTCAAACGATTGGATGATTATTTTCTGAGGCCCCTTACTGCTCTTTTTCTGGCAGGTTTTCTTCTATGACTCAATTCTGTGACTCCAATAAACCAAGAAAAGCTGCCTCCAAGTTAATACAAAGTCACTGAAAATTCTCCCAACACCAGGACATACATAGGTGCTTCGGAGCTGTGTTTCATCCCAGGAACCTCAGCAGTATGCAATGATTAGGAAAGATGCATTGAGATTTGTGATTGAAACAAATCATCTCTTTTTTTCCTCAAAGAGATTTTAGTTATTGTAGCAAAAAGTGGTTCTCAAAAACAAAAATTAGCCTACTTCTCCTAGTCAATATCTGTACAGACTATTTGTCCAACGTTTCACAAATAAACACACAAATGTAAAAAATATCAATATTAAGGATATTGTGTTTCTAAAAATCCTGTTTCTTGTTTCATATATTTCTTAGTTTGTAAAATTCAGCATTACAAGGCTTGTTATGAGAAATCAGGCCCAATTCTACCTTGCAGACAAACTATACTTCAGAATATTAAAGTATTCATTTTATAACCAAACACATGGGAATAACTTGATTTTAAAAGGACTTCACTATATACATTCATTGTCCATTTACTGATTGTCCTATAAGGATTGTCAACGAAACCAAGAAAAAATATGCGATTCCAAGCATGGTGTACCAGAAGCTCTTAGCCTGAATAGTCCAAAAAGTCTTTCAAAACCACTGCTGGCTTGTCACTTCATTTTTTCAGTGTAAGTATAATTTAATTTATTTCATGCCAACTATACAACAAACATAACCTCAAAAGCTCCTTTGGTTTAGAAGTACCAAATGCTTACCTTTAGTGGAAAGCACAGTTAACAACTTCTTTGAGAAAATTTGCTTCAAAAATATTTTTTTGCTACATTCACGATTTCATAGCCTAAATCCTAACGATGCCAAGGCACTTTGAAATTTAGCTCTTCTCAATGCAAAGTTCTTTTTAAATGCCTGTGGATTAATTTTCTATACAAACCTACAACTTTTTCAATATATGTAGTAAGTTATCTTTCTTTTCTATTGGTCTCAGCTCTCATGGAGAGAGGAAACCAGATCCACGTTATGTGTTATGTTTTTATTATTGTTGTTAGTTTTAGTCACTTAAAACAAACGGGGCTTGATGCCCTGAGCATATGCCACAAAGGCAGCAGACTCCAAACTTCCCTGGAAGCAGGACATTTTAAGTAAATTTCAGGGAATCTAGTGAGGTTCAGGGACCTCAGAACACTGCCTTACTTGTCAGATTCCCAGGAGAGGCAGTGGGAGGTTGCACAAGCTAATTCTAGGTGAGAGGCCCCGCCAGAAAGCCCGAATGGAAACCCACAGCCCCACTTCCTGAAACAAAGATTTAGGCGCTGAATCAGGTCAAGTATTTGAACTTTCTGACTGGAAAGCACAGCTGTGGGAAGGAAGAAGCGCTCTCCTCCGGGCACCACCGCCTGGATCTCAGGATTGCTGGAGTGAGCGACCGCTCTTATGTCCGCCCTGCCTTTACGCGATTTCCGTCGCGGCTTCCAGACCTTGCCTGGCCTTTCCCCGCCAGGTTGCCGACGCCTTTACCATGCCCACGGCTGGCCAGTCTAGTGTCCGTGCAGGGACGCAGAAAAAGAACCCCTGCGCCTCTTCCACTCTCCCTCGAGTCCGAAAGCAGAGGTGACAGACACAGGCGCAAAAGCTAGCGGCTCACCCCACTCACCCCCCCAGCGGGGCGTCTTACCCGTACAGGAATGCAGGGGCTTGGGTCGCACGACCAGCGACGGGCACACAGAGTAGAGGGAAAGTTTCTCGAAGTAGTCGCAGGTCTCCTTGGACAGGATCTCATCGATCATGAAAGTCTTGTAGCGCCGCCTGGCTGCTTTGAGCTGGCCGGGCGAGCTGAGCCTCAGTTCGGCGTGGCAGTGCATGGTGAGCTGCGGCGAGCGCCCGCCGACCTGAGAGCGACTGCGAGGTCCCGGCCGGCGGGGACCGCTGGGGCTGGCGCGGGGCGGGGGCCTCAGCCCCGCTTGTCCGCAGCCAGAAGGACGGCCGGGCTCGGGAGGCACGCGGAGGGGAGCGGGTCCGGGCGCGCCTACTGCGCGTCTACACCCACCCTCAGATCAGCATCTTTGGAGAGCCTTTTTGGGACAACGCAGCTGTCAATCAGCGCGCACTTCCCGCAGGGCCAGGTGCGGAGTGCCAGGCGAGGGGCGTCGGCGCCCACCCCCGCCCCTGCCCGCCCGTGGGACCAGGGAGCTGACCTGACCGCCTAGTGCCCCGCAGCTCCCGCCTCCTCCCCTCTAGCGCTCCTCTGCCTGGCCCTCTATTTTAAGACACTTGCTTTGGCTCTGCTCCTCCACCACCACTCCCCCTCCTCCCGGGACGAGCTCCAGGTGTGTGCGCAGGGGTGCGCGCGCGAGAGTGTGCGCGCAGTGCAGGCAGCGCGCGCCGGCCGCTCTCGCGGACACAGTCTCGGCCGGCTTCTGGCTTCTTTTCCAGCCAGTGTCCCTGGAGCTCACCTTAGGGACAGTCCTGCACCCACAGGCCGGGCTGGCGTCCTGACTCCAGTAATCTGAGAGAGAGTACCTCTAGCACTACCGCCAGAAAGAAGTAGAATCCTCGCCGAGGCTACGGACCACAGCGCAACAGACCCACAGCGCAACAGACCCCCACCGCAAGACAACTAAGTCTCCTTCCCCGCGTGGACCGTTTCCCGCGAACCGCGGCTTCGCGTCCCTCCACTTGCAACCCCGAAACCTGCAGAGAGCTCGCGCGCTCTGGGCATGGGGCATTTGCGCCGAAGCTGTAAACTTGACTGCTCCAGGACCTAATCTCAAGCTATAAATGAACATGGCTCAGTCCGTTAACCAATAATAAGCTGCAAAAAAAAAGTACTAAAAGCATCCATTCTTGTTATGTTTAAGCCTTATTTATAAAATATTTTGCCTCCCCGGGAAGGATCGGTACAGCGCGATTCTAGGCTACGGCAGTGCCACTCGGCTTCCAAGTAGTCAGCCCAAATCGGGCTTCCAGAGAGCGAACCTCCCCGCGGCTTTCCATTCCCGAGTCCGGAGACTCCGTAAGGTTGGGTAGCCGAAAAGACCTGTTTTTTGGGTGGTTTCCCTTCTTCTCCATGGGCCCTAGCTTCTGAGTCTGCCCCAATTCATATCTGTAAGAACTTTTGTTTTCAATGGATAATTGTTGGGTCGCGGACCCCCAACCGAGAGTCCGCGCCCCGCGTGGATCCCACCCTGTGCCTGTGCCGAGTAGGGCGGGTGGCAGGAACCGTCGCATTCGCGCCCGGTTCCACGATTTTGTCTCGAATTGGTGCGCAGGTCTGTAAAGAAAATGCACGATAGGAAACAGGGATACGGAATTACGGACAGCCGGTGAGACTGCCGTGCCGCTCTCAATCTGGAAGCGGCCATGAGTCTCAGCGGGCTCTGCGGAGTTGCCGGCCCGGCCCCGGGGAGCTGAGCAATCAAGTCTACGCGCGCACACCTGAGCCGGTGATTATACTCAGAGGAAGGGACACACTTGGAGAGATAGTAATCAGGCGCTTAGAGGGAATGGTATTAATAGATCGAGCCATCAACTACGTAGCATTAGACGTGGCCCGCAACCCGCAATTGGAGACCGTCCCAAGTGTCAGAAAGTGCCTTGGCTCCCATCTCCTGTCCATTTACAATTGATTTTCTTCTCCAAGCAGAGGTGGGGTGAGGGCCTTCTAGAACTGCCACCAGGTGTCCCGGCGGCGGCGGCGGCGGCGCGCATCTCGCCTCAGGGGCCCAGGCTTGCCACTAGGAGCCCTCCGCGCCCCCTGGTTTTGCCCCGGACCCCGAGACCTGTGGACTGAGCTCGTGTCCTCTGGCCTCTCCCCACTCTGGCCCCGCGCAGACCCAGAGCCAGGACCGAAAGGAGCAGGAACCCGCTGCACAGAGTGCTAGGGCTGGGTCCCAAGGACACAGCGCTCTCCCTGAGACCAATCCTGGCAGCGAGCGAGCTGTAATTTCCCCCAGGAAAGTGCGGGGCTGCAGGCTGCAGGCCACCTCAAAAACAAAAAACAAAAAACCAAAACCCTGTTCATGCTTGGGGAGCAGGCGCCCAGCACCTGAGCGACAGTGCAGCAGCCTGATGCCTGGCTGCCTGACTAGGGGCTGAGTTCAGCCTTTAGGCTGTTTCAGGCCTGGGGTGTACTCCTGGGAGGCGCGCTCTGGGTCACCCTTCGGGGGCCTGTCTTAGTCCTGCCCTCCTGCCCTCAAACTTTGCTCTTCCCTCTGGCTCTTCCCATTTCTCCCACCTCCACTAACTCTTTTCCTCCCATTTCTTTCCCCTCATGGTTCCCCAATTTTGGCCTCCTCTCCTCGGTCGAATTTCTTTCTTCTCTTTTCTCCCTACTTTCTAAACCCCATCCCTTTTATTCCCTCCCTTGTCTTCTTCATCCTCTCGTCCTCCACTCTCCCCTGAGTTGGAAGTCTGCATCTTGGCCCAGCCACATGCAGGGCTGCTCACGCTGGGACTTCGGGAACAGCAGCAGCACCGGCCAGCCTGACAGGAATCCATCCATCCGCTTGCCCCTCCTCGGCCTCTGCCCTCAGACGCCTCTGCTCCGCGGGCCTGGCCATCTCCCAGCCCTCTCTCCTCCCCACTTCAACTCAACAGCAGACACAAAATTTGAAGATTTGATCTAGAATATTTGGTGTTTTAATAACTTGGGAAGTAAAACATTCCTATCAGCTCCCTGGATTTCCCATCTTTTCTATTTTCCACTACAGAGGGAAGAAATCTTTGGGGGGGGGGTGCCCGAAGTTGGTGAGAGATTGCAAATCTCCCAGTCAGGAGCCTCGGCATCTTTGCTGCTTCTAACCCAGGCTGAGGCTTGGGTTTTTTCTTTATAAATGGTAGTCATCATTCCCACTTCTCAATACTTACTTTCATAATCCATGCCTTTATGCAAGCTTGGTCCTTTTCATTGGAATGCCCTCCACAGCCCATTCCCTCCCTCTTACACAAAAAACTAGTTTGAGATCCATCTCAAATGTCATCTCTCCCATGAAAGTGCTCCCACTCCCCCAAGGCTGTCTTTGCTATTTCTATCTCTATCCTAGCATTTCCTTTATTGTATTGTCTTTTGCACGTTTATTTCACCCACTGGACATTGAACTCCAGCAAGCCAATGCCCAGTCCAACATTATCCATCTTGTGTCACAACACCTATATAGTACCTGGCACGTGGTGGTCAGTTCTCAGTAAGTGTGTCATGAATAAATGCATGAAAGCTGGGGAAACTAAATTATATAATGTGTTTGATGGGACATCAAAGCTTAATTAGTTGTACTAAATTTGTCTTTCTGTTTAAATGAGTCTCTCCACTTTCCTTGATAATTTTGGCTTTTCAGCAATGGCATCTAGCCTAGTTCCCTCTTTGCTCTGATCTCCCTCTTTTCACTCCCTCTCTGTGGCTCTCACACTGTAAAGCACTTCTGTGAGAGGAAGCACACCCCAGCTGTCAATCACAAAGTGGAACTTGGGTCAGAATAGTCAGGGGTTTTGTTTCCAACATTAATGAAGTGGCTGGAACAGCAAACATCTGCCAAAGGGGCTCAAACTTTTTCCAGCTGCTGGAGACCCACAGACACTTCCTAGCCTCCTGTGACTGTACCCAAGCAGTGTCTGGCCCTGCACTCACAGAGGAACACACACAGAGAGGAACAGACTGTCTGCACTGTTCACATCCTCCAGGAAATCAACCCCCACTCTTCAATCTGGCTCCTGATTCCTGAGGAGATCGCTGGTGGAAGAGAAGAGGACAGGACACCTTTGCAAAGTTGGGGCTGAGGCTCTGACACCCAAAACCTAAAGAATCCCTCCTTCCTATTTTGTCACACACCTATATCTCCACTCATCTAGAACTTTTTTTAGTTTTTAAATTTTCATTACTATATTTTCAGTACATAATGATCACATTTATCTTGGGGAGTTAGTACACATGCATAACACATCTTAATTCTTTTTACTTACCTTACTCTCCCTTCTCTCCCCTTCCTTCTATGCCTGGTTCAACTTCACATTTGCAAAAAATCTAACACCCTGCTTCCTATCTCTATCTTTTATTTTGCTCCATAAATCATTTATACTTTGCATTTCTCATATAAGTCAAAGAACACTTAAAGTTTAATAAAACAAAATAGACTCTTTAAATCCTAGGATGACACTTAATTTGTGCCTAGTATCTAACTCTGGTTTAACTATTCTTTTATAATCTTGAGCTAGTGCTGATGTAAATGCTCAGAAGCAGCCAAAACATATCTTATGAGTATTTCCCAACCACCTTTTCTCTGAATGGGGCGGGGTGGGGGGACTTCTTACATTCTAGTCGAGTGTATTTAATAACTTGCATTTCAGCCTCTAAGTTTTGAAATAGTTTCAGACATGTAAAAGCAAAATAGGGAAAGCTTTGTAAGTTAATATTCCCCTGGGCCCCAGGGCCATGCCAAAACTGCTTGCTGTCTTTGCAGCCCAGCACGGCAGCCACAAATAACAAGTTAAAGGAGGTGTACAAGGAGTCCAACTTATTTTTAATGATGATATTAATTTACAAAAACTGCTCTCATACACTGGAAGGCACATTTTTAAGAGAAGGCAAAAATGTAATCCACTTGACAAATGAGCTTGGAAAGAACTGACTAGAGCCTTGTACTTTTTCTCAAAAGCTCTGTTTAAATTGAGGGAAATAAGACAATGAATGTATCTACAGAGCACTGAACGTTTACATGAAGAGGGGAAAATTCAGAAAATCATCCAGATGTTTCTGAATTTTGAAAAGCTTGGCATACAGTTTCAGATGTGAGTATTATTGCTTTTTAAAAATTATGCTCTCTTGACATCCTTCAGCCATGTTTCCATCAATATACTGTGTGCCACAAGTATCCCAGTTGATGTAGGCAGGAAACAAAAATTTAGCTCTCCTAATTCTATCATAATATTGTGAAAATAGATATGCACCTAAGTAGAATCATTGGTTTTGACTTTTTCCCCTCACTTGATTCCCTTTCACTAATGAGAAAGCTGCAGGAAGAGAGAAGCAGCAGTTTAAACCTGATGGAATAGTGTCATGGCTGTCTGGGGTTAGGGAAATGAACTTCTGAGTGTGGCAAACTGGGTCCCAGTTCTGGACCAGTCACTGAATAGTTTCCCTGATGCCCGGCCTCAATCAGAAACTGTAGGTAAGGAGATCCAACTCTGATTTACAGGAAAATTCC